ACAAATCTAGCCCCCTCCCCAAATAGTGGCTGTTTACATGAAATCCCTTGGATTAACATGAATGTGCATTTAAAGTAGTGTAAAGTTGTGTTGATTGTTTATCAACAAAATTATCCTTCTCAAATGTCAGGTCTGACTGAAACATTAAGAAGTAACAAAAAGAATTTTGCACAAATCAAAGTAAATGTGCAGACATCCATGCTCATTACCAAAGTCAGCTTTGAACAGATCAGTCTCTAGCACAGAGACCGGAGGAACAAATTGCCACCAAAACGCATCAAAATGTTCAAAAAGGACTTGTGAAAGCCAGACTCCACTGAATACAAGTAAATTTAAGGATTAATGGCATGGGGGTGGGGTGTGTGGAACCAGTGCCAAAACATACAGGTCTTTTAAACTGTCAGGCTACTGTCAGGCTACAAAAACTGTACACAAATTGTGTGCAAGTGAAGTTATGCAAATCAGAACTCATTTCAGAAAAATACTGTGCAGAAATTTGTAATTAACACCTGAGTAGGAAAGTGCTAAGCAGACACCACCCTGCTTACACTGCTGAGACCCCAGCTGCTTTCTGTTGTGCAGACACAGCTGTATATAGTGCATATACAGCTCTGTACTCTACACTGAATTTGGAAGAGAAATCAAGGAATTCACAGGGCAATAAACTATTAAAATGGGAAGAGCTGAGTCTGAAAAAAAAAAAGCTTAGTAGCCTGGTAACTTTCCCAGGCTGCCAATCCTGAAATTAAAATGGTAAGGTATTGATATTGTCAGAGAAATAAGTTAAGTGATGTAACACACCAAGGCAGGAATGTGCTGAAAAAGAAACTAGTTAGATTGAAAAAAATGCTTCCAAGTGTGAAATGTTAAAATCTTTTATTACCCGATGTTTAAGGAGTAAAGAACATACCTGTAATTTCTTTGATCTATTACTTCTCCTTTTATACCTTGATGACCTTAAATTGCAGCAGCCCAACCTCCTCCAAAATACCCTTACTAAATCTTATCCTTTCAGAAAAACAATGGAGTCCACTGAAGCCATCAGCAGCTCAACTGCTTACAGCATGAATATTAAAAAAAATATATTAATGTCAAAATAAATAACTCACAGAGAAGATAGAGGAGGTATTTTTTTCTGAAAATGTAACCTGTTCATACGCACAAGGATGAACCTGACAGACGTGAAAACAGGGTACAGTAGTATTAAAGCTGTAGCTCCGTGTAGGACTCCTACCGCCACCCTTCTAAATCTGCAGGACATGATGTTCTTCAAAGCACTGACATGTGAGTTGCTTGTAAATGATCTCATAATTAACCAGCTTTTATTACTGCAGTAATAGAGAACAAAAATATCTTTATTTTCATAAGGCATCTTTTGTAGCATCTTTCCTCTATGAAGAAAAAAGATGCTACAAAACTGAGGTTGCTTTATCAGCTGTAATACAGAACAGGTTCAGGCATTAGTCATAAAATGTTAGTGTATCTATTTTTAACTGTAATTTAATGTAGCCAGCTCACACAGATTAACATCTGCTTCTTGGATGTGATACTCTTCTAAAGCAAAGTCTTAGACTCTCCCTAATCTGCAGATGTACACAAATATAGATCTTCACTACTACCAGTCTCTCAGACAACAGAATACAATAAACAGGACACTGAACTAAGGAACTGAAGAGGCTTCGGTATTCCACGCACGCTGGCATGCTCCAAGATCTTCAGTATACATCTAATGAGCTTGGTGCCAAAAAACATATTTTGGGGTATCCATATAACACTTTCCCCTTTATTATCAGAAAAGAGGTAGGAATAAAGAAAATCTGTTCAATACTGAAAGCCTGCCTTAATAATTAAACAACATAAAATAATTAAGTCTTCATGCATGAATAGTAACAACTCACATGACTCGATGATGGTGACATCTTTGCTGCCCATCACCTATAATTTGGAATAACTTTGCTTTTTTATCATCAGTAAAATATGCACAATTGAATTTTGAATTTTATTAATTCAAAGCAGACAAATGTATCACTTAAACATGGCCAAATGCTTCTGCTGTTTCCCACTGCTGAAATATTTTGCATGTTCTGGAAATGGAGACTCCTTCCCAGACTTGCATAATCCCCTGGAGGTGAGTTTTGCTGTGTTTGGTAAAGTACAATTTAAGCAGTATGCTTTACCTTAGCCAAGTTCCATCTTATCAGCACTTACACTTACTTGGAAAAACGAATAAAGATTTGACTTTGCAAGCAAACATTTCTGAGTATTATACCAGCATATATGGCTCAGCATCAAAATAATAAATCCTTTTTAATTAGAAAACTGAAGAAACCGCTTCTTCACAATCTGACATCACATCACTACATTTTGCTCATGAGAACAAAGTTTACAGTCATAAGTTGCACATAAAGGGTTTATTTTAAATGTTTTAAGGATAGAGTTACATCATAATTATAAAAATTACTTACAGAATTAAGTAACAGATTTAAAGTGTTTATACTTCTAAATGCAGAGAAATAAAATAAAAATAATGAAACCAAGCTCTAAAGATGAAGTCATTACCTAATTTTAAAATGTGAACACGAAGACCTTTGAACTATACACATACCAAGAACCATCCAAATTGCACTAATGATGTAAAATACAAAAAGCACAGCATTTTCAAGGAACCAGATACTGTTTTTATCATAACTCTTTTCCCTGAAGCAACTATAGTCAATTCTACCTGAAGATAAAGCCTCTGTTTTTAAATAATTCACTAAAGAAGGCTTCTACATGTTGCAATCAAAAGGGTTTTCCCCACAGTCTACTCCAACAGAGTTTAGGGTTTGGCACTCAAAAGAAAGAAGAAAAATGTAGTGTTTTGCTAATCAACTGTGATTTTATTTTTTATTTAACAGAATACATGGTCCCTTCAAATGCTGTATGACACATACAACTGGAAAATTACCTTCCGTTGGCACTATGCTCGTCTCACCGGTGCATTTAATCCTACTAACAACCATTAAAACAGCACAATAAGCAAATTCACAAAAAACTGAACACAAAATAAAAACAGAACAAAACAAAAACCTAAACATTTTAACATGCAACTTTAGTTTGTTACACTGAATGTTCTAACCCTCTAAGCATGCAAAAAAGGATGGTCTGCATTTAAGTTTTTTTTTTTTTTCCTTTTAAAAAGTTTTACATGGCAGCCTGACATCACACACACGCACACACACAATATACAACAATACTACAGCAGGTAAATGTGAAAGGCGGATAACTTTTATACAAAGATCCATGGCTTGTGCCATCACAAGCCCTATGTGATTTTGGAAAGTAATGTTGAACCCCTATAACAAGGAACCAACATTTAGTTACCAGGGTAACGCAAGCACTGCATGCAGATCTGAAACATGAGCCTAAAACAAAGCCCAAAGCAGATGGGCAGGGAGTGGAATTAGTCTCAAGCCTCAAAAAGGTGGTTTAAGCTATCACCAAAAAAAAAAAAAGAGAGAGAGGGGGAAAAAAGATGAAAAGAAATACCCACGCAACAGACAACGGGGACATCTAAAAACAACCGTAAAATTTACAGTTTATAGATTATATTCTAATTGGCAGAATACGTGGTGTATTCAAGAGGCTTGCAGAAAACCCACAAATGCAAGCCTAATGCTAAAAATGTTCCAGTAGACCTACACCTCTGATATTTCAAAACAAACCTTGTATTCCTCAGTTATATAGCCCAAAGTTCAGTGTACTAGGATATTCATGTATCTTGTGTATAATCAATACACTCACTCATTCTTGTGCCACAAATATCAACTTGGGCTCATGGAGCCAGGCTCAGCTTTGAGATTTACATGCAGGACTCTTAAGAGTCAATAGAAAACACATAACAGATCTGCAGGATGAAAACACTGTGTTGCAAATCTGCTCACTTTGTTCAAAACACAAGGAACATTTACAAGTACTTAGTGCTTAAGGACTGCATTGAGAAGCTATTCACTGAAAGACAATAGCCTGCCTTTGGTTGCCCATGATGAAATACTGGACATAATGCAATATAGTAGCAATGGACAAAGAATTAAGGTATCATATTTATATGGAGAGTATTTATTACCATTCAACAGCATAATGAGGCACAAGCCTTAAGGCTAAAATATGAAATCAGGCAAAAAAATGGACAGAAAGGGGCTTAAACCACTGACCCTTCAATATCAAGAACACCCACAATAGAGGTCATCCGGACCTCGGATCTCTGATTAACAGCACCTCTCCTGCATCCTTCCACTAATGGCATATGGTTGGATATCAGAGTATTTGTTCCTTCCATTAACAGTGTTGACTGCTGTCACATACTGTATCTCTGTGAAGCAGTTCTTTGAAACTTGCAGAGCTCTGCCTTAATGTAACATGACAATTTTGCTGCTGTGCTGATCGTTGTTGCAATTCTGATACGTTTAGAAGCTGCCACACTGAAAAAAACCCTAATTTTCATTTACAACTATCTTGCAAGATTAAAACTGTGAAAGGATTCTGCTGTTGTGGGCTGCCATTTACGTCCACAATCTAATGCAGATGACTGAACCACTGAGACTGCCTATAGCTTCCATTAGATAGTACACCACTGGCATGCAGAACTCTAGTGTTCATAGAATGAAATTCACGTTAACAGCATACCTCGAAGCAAGTACAATGTACACCACAAAAGGCAACAACAGGTTTAAGCTGTAGATTTGTCCGGACACTCCTTATGTGGAAAAGCCAGAAAAAGAATAAATTGGGAAGATGCCTTCTTGAACCAACATGGTCAAAAAACCAACCAACCAACCAACCACAGGAATGCAACAGGCAGAGCAGAAGGCAACAGATGCGTCTCCTTCTCTAAACTAAGTCTTCAATGTAAAAGGATACCCCTTCCCACCCCCTGGCATGAGATTGTATTTACCATGTAAAATTTTAATGACTCTTAGCCTTCTAAGTCCACACATAAACATTCAGGTTGCTACGTTTTGACATTAAATGAGAGACTACTGATTGCCAATGTGTAGTCTAAAGTCTTCCGAAGTAGCATATATACTGTTAAAGTTGTGGCACCAAGCACTTGGGTTTTGCTAAGAAGTGTGTATAACAAACAAAGAAATACAACATTGAGGATTGAAGACAGCCTTGTTGCATGTATTTTACCAGTTCCTACAACTTGTAAATATGGGCCATTAACCTGCATTTTCTAATTAACTGGTTATACAGATTAAATATATTTTTACAGTTTAAAGCCTTTTCACTGAAAGGTGCGTAAGACAAACACTTGATAACCTAGTGCCCTGTGACTAGTAAAAATGCACAGGTATTTCCATGTACTGCAAGTTCTTAAATAGCTAAATTTGAAATAAAGTGTAGAAACACAGCAGATTGATGTTACTTGGGTTAGGCACTCCTCAATGCTGCACAAACTGTTTAAACCTTTCAGAAAAGTCACCTGTGTCCCAACCCTGAAAACAAGGACTGCCAGTAGCCAAGAAATTAAATTTAATGTTACAAAAGAAGGCATATCAAAATATCAAACTACACTTGCATGTGGCATTTGAACAAGTGAGTGCAAGGTTGAAGAAAAAGTTAAAACCTATGAAAAAATTTAGATTAAGGATTACAATACTAGATCAACTTTACACAGCTTGAATTTGCAGCTGTTCTTTGCTTTTAACTCCCTCCTGCCCAAATATATTGACTTCCTTCAAGAAAAGGAGTTCTCTTACACAAAATGTGTCATGTTTGTTTATATTATTCAGAACAAAACAGTTTTGCTGGCAGAGATTGTGGGTTCGCAGGGACATTTAAGCTTTCATTAAACTGGAAAGCAGTCAAGTCTTTGTGTCTACAAATTTTACATTTAATAGTTCCACAAATTTGGCAAAAGTTCATGATGACGTCTAGGATGTCTTCACCAAATCGTAGACATAAATATGGAAATCGTCATCAAACTTGATGAAATAGACAGATGGTTTGGCTTCAACTTGATGAATGACCATGCCAGTCCTTTTTGAGCCATCTTCTTTGGCATATTCCACTTGTTTGCCTACCAGGCTGTCCACAACTTCACCTGGTTCCCGTTCTGCAGGAGGTGAATCATCTGTAACACAAAAACCAGTACACTTTGGTAGACATTAATGGAATTTTTCAATATGAAAGACAACTGTAACTTCATATGAAACAATCAGAAGCTTTAAATACAGAGTACGTAGAAAATTACTTTTGTTCACACGAACACCTAATGATTGCCATGCTTCTAGAAAGTACAGTTGCAGAATAATTTTCAAGTAATACTGTCTTCAGTTTTATAGCAAACAAATACAGCATTTTCTTAGTAATGGTCACACCTGATGTGGCTTTTATTCTGGAAATCCTAAGCCTTTAAATTAATGTCTTTGTTCCAAGTTTGTGTTAAGATCCCTTACAGATTTCACCCAGATTTTCGTCTCAGTTCTGTGAGTTGTGAAATAACTCCCAAAGGAGAAAAAAAAACCCAAACCAACAGGGAATGAATGGATTGGCTTGTACTTACATATAAGATTCTTCCACAAATTTAAGAAGTTTCTCTTTCTTTTTTTTTTGTTTCAGTTCCTCTATAAACGCTGTACTGTTATACATACATATTATCCTCTTAATACCAGCTTTATGTAGAGAGTCTTCCTTGGCAAAGACGCAAGTTAAACTCTTAAATTTTCATTTAGAAGGAATTAATTTAGAAAGAATTATAGAAAATGCTTTTCCTGCACATGTCACTGCTGATAAAATATTTCAGCAGTTAACACAGATGTTCTTTGCTGTGCTATAACGTGTTAGTTGTGATACTTTAAAAAAAATAAAATTGAAGGGAGTAATAAACAAGATCTTTGTTTGTCAACTCTCCTGTCCATAAATAAACCACAGCCAAACATTAATATAAAAAGCTGCCACTTCCAGAAGAAAACAGTAACTGGCCTACTTACTCGAATCAGGCATAATGCGAAGGTCACCTTCTTTATAATCATCTAAGAGTTGGTACATGTACAAGACGGGATCTTTCTCATAGGTAATATAAAACCATGTGTTCATAATAGGAGCTCGAGCCAAAACCATCCCCCTCCACTCATCCTTTGAGCCATCTTCTGTCTCAAACATGTGTTCCACGGCTTTACCAATCATTGTGTCTGCCAGGTGGGCATCACTAATTCGAGATGAAGCTGAAATGACAGCATTTCATAAGTTCATTCAAAAGCACAGACATATGTCCTTGTGAAAAATAATCTTTACCCTGACTCATAAACGAATTTGATTGGAAGTTAGTCAATTCATATACAAAACAAACACTGTCTGTTCCAGAGAGTTTACTACTGAATAACTGCAGAACTTTTCTAAAGTTGTTAAAATAATGTCCTCGTTTGAAGTATAACAGAACCCATTTTCTGTTCACTCCCTACGATTAAACAATCATAATGCAAGGTAAAGGGAAATCAATCAAGGCCACAGCAGTGAAGAGTCTTGCTAGTTTATTTACCTAAACACTGGAGGGAGCAAGGCAGGCAGTGGAGAAGAGGAAGAGAGGCCAATCACAGAACAGTTCCATGAAGTTTTTATGAAACTTTGGGGTTTGGTTCCCCCTAATGCCACTCTAGAGACTGCTACTAATTGCTTTGCAGTCAGAAGAAGCAACAGCTTATTCTGTTTAGTAAATACTTGAGCAACCTGAAGCTTGCAGTTTGAAAAACCGACAGTTTCACAATCCAGTGGTAATTCTGAAAATCAAAAAGCCTTGCTACTAATCAAGCTATTTCACTTAGAAAATGCCTTTTGCGCCCATTATTAAAAGTACTTAGGCAAAGTACATGAAGAAAAATGTGACATTATTACTGTTAGGCACACAGAACAGACAACAGAGCTCAGAGGGCTTACAGTTCAAATTTTAATAGAAATATCAATGTTAACTTTACATATGGTTCTTAGGCATAAGACTAAACAAAAACCACAGAACGTACTGCATTCTACTTAAAGACAGAAGACAGCTCTGTACTCACTGGTATCATCAAATTTTTGTGGAATCAAGAAAATTTAAACAGAGTATTTAGATTACTTGACGTATAACAAAAATTAATTTGACTAATAACATTTAAGTGGTTAGATGTTATCTTGGGTGAAGTCTGGAGAGATTAGTGGAGAACATTTAATAGTAAATGTCAGCCTGTATGTATATGAATTTAGGAGAAAACCCCAAAACACTTACCAACTCTGTCTGGAAGAACTTCAAGTGCTGAAACTCTTTCATCTTTGTGCAGTTCTAGTCCATACACACAATCAAATCCATCATATTTTATAAGATAGAGAGAGGGATTTACAGGAACTTGATCAAGAACTGTGCCCTTCCATTGTGTTACAGGTCCACTCCCTTCTTTCCATCCATGCTGTATTCTGCAGCCTACAATATTTCTTCGTGGCTGAGAAATAGGTTTGCTTGGTCCCACATTGTTTCTATGCTTTCTGTACATAGATACAAATATAATATTAAACAAGTACATAAAAATTCAGAATTCTACTCCAGACAAGAGCTGTATGGTTTAAGATGTGCATAGTGCACCTCATTCAAATTAGGGTATAAAGCACATTACACTATACTGGAAAAAAGAAAAACAAACTGAAATAGAGTGAAACATTTTGATGTGCTTTATAAGGTCAGTTTCCTAATAGTCGTTTCTGAAATTAGTTTGCTTAAGCAAGAAGAACTATTTTAGCTCTCGCAACACTGAATGTCAAAAGTAAAACTCACCTGATCAGGTCTCAAAGCACAAAGTTACCTGCCAGTATTATAACTTTATTATCTTGTTGCTCTCTGCAGAATAATAAACACAACTTCTGTCCCAGGAGGAAGAAGTCAGTGGAAACATTACTGGTGGCTGACTAAAATTCTTCCAAGGCATTTGTTTTCCCTAACCTGTTTTTTCATCTGAATGAAATTTAGCTTCCTTCTGTATTTACAGATATTTTTTACCCCAAGTATTTTTAAAGGCACATGGTAGGAACGCTTCTCTAGCATTCCTTTGTAGTATATAAAAAGAAAAATGATATGAAATGGTAATGCCAATAGAAGGGATACACCTTGATGTGGAAAATAGATTTCATATACTTTTTTGTCCTTCCTCTGTTTTCATGGAAGTTGCATGGAAATTCCCTCTGGTGAGTAACAGTTGTTTTTCTGATCAACAGTCATGAAAGCTATTTGACAGTTTCAAATCACTAAAAGTGTTATTCACGTTTTCTTCTAGCCAGTTATTAAAAACACTAATTGACAATTTTGAGTACAAATGGAAGAAACTAAGAAACATTATGACAGTGCACTGGGGATATAATATTAATTTTTTATCTATTTTAGCATGTTACAATGCACTTACTCATTCCTAAAAAGATTATTTAGAGGGTTGCCTGATAAAAATTCTCATGAATGTCAACTAGTCACAAAATACATTTTTGGGTTACTACTTGTGGCATACCTCATTTAAATGGCAATAAAATATGCAAACCACTAGCATGCTTAAAAGCAGTATCTGAAAGAGAAAATCAATTGCAAAAAACAATACTCTTCCTTAGACTGGAGATAGTGACCAAAAAGAAATGTCTCCAGGAACCATGAACTCTCTCAGAGAAGTCCTTATATGATCAAAAAAAAAAGGCAAATAGCAATCATACCACTGAAATCCTGGAAGAAGACTTGCTGAATAATGCAGTTACTACATGGCACTGGAATGCACAGTGCCGAAGATGCAATCATAACTATTAAAAACAAGCTATACGAGTACTTCAGCAGCTTGTCCCCCTCCAGACTTTCACTACTTCCTGTGAAGATCTTAGTAGCAGGTTTTGCCAAATTTCACTTCTGTTATCATTTGACCTTTTCAGCAAAATCAAACTGCAGTTTCTGTATTCCTAACTTTGACAGTACAGATTATTATAGGAACTCCAACCTCTTCCAGTAAAGAGGCACTCTCCCACAAAGTTGGTTCTAATTTTACTCAGAAACTAGAATGCACTTTCAAATTCTAGTTCTTGCCCAAGTACATTTTTTTAATTGTAATAGTCTCAGTAAGAGTTTACTATTACAAAATGAGATCAGAGACCTGGTTCTTGGCACAGTAAAAATGAGGGGGTTTTGCATGCAATTAATTTATTTAGTTCTAATAAAACATAATTCCATTCTAAAGCAGAATAAAACCAACTGAAGATAAAAGAACTTAAAATAGATAAAACAATGTAAGTTTTAAACAATTTGTCTATGCTGCTAATCATCTCATTGTTGATAAAGGTAAAAATAACACTGTTCATGTTCAGCCTCACAGTCAATTTTGCTTTCTGCCCATAAAGCATAATCCACTTCACTGTTTAAATTGGAACAATTAAATGAAAAGTTTCCCACTCATTTTAAAAAATATGATGGAAAAAGACTACATAACTGAGTTCAAACTGGTAACCACCTTAAAAATGCCTCAGAGAGCAAAAAGCATTACAAATTTAATTACAAGTCAAGTACCTGCCAGGTGGACTTGCAGTTCAAATTTTTGTCTGAAGGCTACCGAACAGCCGTTCACTCTCATTTGCGGTGGTTCATATTATACGAAATGAGATTTTCAAACTAGTAATTTACCAAGGAAAACCTACTTCCTCTTGCATCTGAACATGGGGTAAGAAAGCAGGGACAGGTTTCTAACTATCAATAAATAATAGTTACGCATACACTTCCATGTAAGACAACCAAGTAACCAACTCAAACCTCTCGTCTCCTCAACAGTGTGTTATTTCTGTGATACACTAAGTAATACTAATACATGTAAGCTTCTATGTTGCTATACCCAGAAGGCCCAACAAATATTTTTTTCCTTCTGTTTCATTAGAATTATCTTAAAACTTCCACAAAGATTTGCTCTTGAAGATTGGGTTTTCTTAGACCTGTAAAACATGGAGCCAGTAAAACTAGAAAACAGCAAGTCTTGGAAATAGTTCTTGACACATCAGACACACCCTTATTGTAAATGGCCTCTCCTGTCCCCAAAAGTTTCAAATCCTCTTCCTTATCTTGAAGGCAGAAGCTGTTAAGTAAAAGCTATTTATGTGAAAAGGTTTCTTTATCAGAACCAGATACTTCAGAAACTTTCTAGAGACTACACAGGCAGAAATAATTCTTCCCAGATTTTTAAGTTGTATTTAAATGGCCCTCACAGAAACTTTCATTTGGGAAAACCAATGTAGTACAGAACTGCAAAGGGCTGGTAGCAGAAAAACCAACCAGGGTTGTGCTTAAAAGACAAACTAGCATTTATAAAAAGAAGAATGGCAATTCCCAATAACCTATCAATATCCATTTAGGTTTGGTTATTGATATTTTTTTTTCTTATCATCCCATCTTGGAAAAACACCACAGGGTAGAACTAAGGAAAAAAACAGAAGGCTGAAAGAAAACCATACTCCTCCGATGTGTAAAGAAAAGCACAACTGTGAAAGTCAAAAGGAAAACTATAAAACAATATAAATGCAGTACAGCAGCAATGTTCAGTACCATTTCAAGTCTTTCATGGTGCCAAGCAGAAAAGTTATTAAAAACAGGACCCTAAACTTACTACAACTGTGATCTTATTACAGACTATCATTAATAGCAGAATGGTCATGACAGAATTGTTATCAACTGCTCTTCAAAATATTCAGACTATGAGGCACATTAGTTGAGGCAAAAGTTTTAAATTACTTTCTGCACTGCCTGCAAACCCGTCATACAGTTGTTAATTTCATCTTCAGATGCTGCAGGAATCAAGATTACATGTTAGCTTAAAGCAGGATCAGAAATTCAAAATGGTTAAGTTCACCTTAGTTTAATTGCAGGCATAACCTGCACCTCAAAGTCCTTCAATTGCCAACTACAAGAAACCTGGAGAGCCTATGAAGAAAGGATTGGTTGATACTTACACTATTTCTTGTACTCTTTCCTTATGCACCAAGGGCGGAAAGAATGAGATCTGGGAGATTACTGACTAATCTGATGCCAGCGAGTTCAGCTTCGTATATGCAGAGATCACCACTACTCATTGACAGAGCACTTGGAAGAACTGCCCTATAACCACGGGAACCCTTTCCAAAAGGCTTAACACTTAACTACCACTAAGAGTTCAGAAGACTCATCCACACTGCTCATTCTGTCACATCCTCAATTACTGAGTCATGCCCTGTTCCATCCTCTTGGCGCCTTCCTCTGCCACAAACCTTCTGAAGCTAGTTTAAAATCTCCTCAATGGCCTTCGAGTGCGAGTAGGCTTGTTCCTCTTTTTCTTTAAATGAGCAATAACTAAATAAATAACTAAATCAGTGACAAAGTATACATTACTAACTCATAGTCTACCGTTAACAGCTCAGAGTAGTATCAGCATACATTACACGGTGATTCATATCCTACTTGTTCATGGTAAAACTACTATGGTCTACTGTTCTGCCTCATTCTCAGAGAAGTCAGTGAGCAGCACACAAGAAACAATCTTGGTTTGGTACAAAAAACCTTAGCTAAATAATTAATAAACAATTGAACTAGGCTAAATTAACATAAAACTAAGGTGGATGCTTAAGTTAAGTGCTTCAAAATCATGTCACTTAGGATCAAAACTTCTTATGCCCCATAAAAGCCTTTATGCTAACAAATTTACAGCCTATTTTGGTATTTAAATAAGTGTATATCACCACAACAATAAAGACAAATCTAGCCACCCTCAAGTACAAAAGGCAACCCACCTCTGATAGTCTTCCCATCATATACTCCTTTCTCTGAGCGGTTGAAAAAGAACAAGAGAAATTAAGTTTTAACCAACTCTACCTGCCCCTAGACAAATAAATGTTTCTCTTTGCCTTCTATGAAGATAGACAAAAATGGATAATGATGAGCTGGTGGAAAAGATTAGAGTAGTTTTACATCAGGTGTTGTCTCTGGGAAACAGTTAACACTGTTAGCAGTGATTAACTATTTTAATTGTAGAAAATACACCTGCCAAACAAATTGATTTTGATTGATGCACTGCTATACGACTTTACACTTAAAATACAACCAGGAACATTTTAATAAGTTTACTTATTAACACTTACCCAGCTTAGATTTCTCCCACCAGAGATGTAGCCAGATACAATATCTCACTCTTTGACACTAAGACAAATTATGCCCAGAACATTACCTCTATTTTCACACAGTTACTCACCAATGATCAGCTTCTACCATTTAAAAATGTTGTAGAGGGAAAAATACATGCCATGTATGTGGAGGATAAGCAGCTATCCTTCACACACAAATAGCAGATTCTTTACAGAAGTATTTCAGTATATTCTATACTTTAGAAAGGTGAAAAATCCTTTTCAAAACTATAGTTGCAGTGAATGCATGATAAGGTATTTCTAAGATCATTTCCAGACTGAGTTATCAGTAAGCGTGCTTTTTGGTTTTTATTGGCCTGGTGACAATGCATTACCTCTGTGCCAGAGAACAGAGATCCTACAGTATGTGTGGCTAATTTCTGGCTCGCAACTCCTTCTGTCTGAATTCCAGAAAGAGTTACAAAATTGCATTCAAGGATAATTTTGTACTAATAGTCAAAATGATGTTTAAAACTTGTGGGGTATTCTTTCTTACCACCCTCCTGAAAGAATGAAAAGTCTGACTCTACACACATATACCGACTGACTATTATTTCACGTGATTTTCGAGAACAAAGTGAGTGGAACAATACTAGATATATTTCTAGAACAGTACTTCCAGTTACTGAGAGCTATACCTCAGTAAAAATATTAACAACTTACTTGTGGGAAGTTCTCTTCTTCATCATGCTGGCAGACACTCCTGCATGACCTACAACATAAATGATGATGGAATTACTGAAAAATAAAGCCTGTATACAATGCCAAAAAAGCCTTCTGATACAAGTCTTCCTTGTAAATTCCTTCCTGAATGTAAAGAATACAAACACTTCACATTATGACTGATCATTAAACTGCTACAATGGGAGAACACTGCAGACAGACACAGGCTACATGCCTGTGAAGCTCAGGGACATGAGGAGTGACTGACCACAACTATTAAAAAGAAAGCAGAACTTAACACAACAGGGGCCTGTGAGATCTTTGTTCTACAAAAATGGCTGTAACTGTTGAAATAATCAATCAGCTACAACAGTTAAGTGCATCAAATGGCAGCGTAACTTTTCATCCTTGAGTTAATCAAAAGGGTGAAAATACACGTCTTCCTGAGTTAGCCAGACCAGCACTGGGGAATTATATACACATCTCAGTCTAAAAGAGCTTACAAAAACACCCAATAAACAAGAAGAGTTTTGAGAAAAGCAACAGGCCTAAGCTGACTTCAACCCATGCATTCCTTCCCAGCAACTGGGGACACCCAGCGCGGTGATGGCGAGCATGTTGTAGAAACCAGTAAACAGAATCACATTTGTATTGAGATGCAATTATATATTACAATTACTATATTCTGCTAAGTACCAGTGATTTTATGGTTGTAACATTCTGCTAAATCTAAAACTAGTACAATGTCAAAAAAAACTTTTTAAAAGAAAGGCATTAAAACATTAAACCCTCCTTGTGTACACCATGTGTAAGAGAACGTCGTCAGGACAGCAGTGGACTCTTGACACTAACTCGCACCACGGTGTTGATAGTCTGTGGCATGATAGGATGAATGTTATTTACTAACAATTCAATAATACTGGGAATTCTGATTTCACAATTTAGTCATAAAAGTGTAGGACAGGTGATTTGCATTGTAGGTAAGGAAGAGTAGTGAAAAGATTGTCTGCAGACAAGGCCCCTTACTCTTTAGAAGGTGTAAAACATTGTGAGTGCTGAGAAAGGCAGGTAAAAGCTAGCTGACAAATTTGAAAAAGAGGAATGGAGAAATCCTAAGCAGGATTTTTCATGGATATAAGAATGTTGCACTTATCCCAGTGATATTTTGGGGTGAATATGAAAAATTGAAAGCTTCTACTAAGCTGGAGAAGGGAAAGCAGGCTCATGCTCGTTGTTGAGAAAGCTATCTGTGAATAGTAGTGAAGAAGTCAGCAGAGCAGATATGCAAGGACAAGATGACAGTGGTAGAAAAAAGAGTTACAAAAGAGAACATGATATATAAAAGGTGATGTGGACAGTTGGAAAAACTAAAATAAATTCTCAGAATGAGAACCACAGTCTCAGAACACATCCAACGCCCACCTGTGTAGGGATCATTTACTAAGGTCAACTCAAATAGACCTTGTTAAAGTGAAGGCTGCTATGTATGCTGAGGATGACAAATGGCCAGGAGATGCCTGGCTTGACTCTGATTCTCCCAGTCTTATCATTGTACTGGTTTTGGCTGGGATAAAGTTACATTTCTTTACAGTAGCTTCTATGGGGTTATATTGTGGATTTGTGCTGAAAACAGTGTTAATAACACGGATGTTTTAGCTATTGCTGAGAAGTGCTTACACAGCATCAAGGCCTTCTGTTCCTCAGACTGCCCCACCAGCGAGTAGGCTGGGGGTGCACAAGAAGTTTGGAGGGGACACAGGTGGGACAGCTGACCCCAACTAACCAAAGGGATATCCCAGACCATATGAAGCCATGCTCAGCAACAAAACTGGCGGGGGAGGTTGGCAGGGCAGGGTGAGCTGCTCAGGGACTGGCTGGGCATCGGTCAGCTGGTGGTGAACAATTGTTTTAATTTGCATCACTTGTCTTTCTTGGGTTTTATTTTCCTCTTATCAGTTATTTTTTCCTATTTTCCTTAATTTTTAAAAAAATTATTATTATAGCCTTTTTAATTATTAAACTGCTTTTATCTCAATCCATGAGGGTTTTTTGCTCCTCACTTTTACCCCACTGGGGGTGGGGGGAGCAGCTGTGTGGTGCTTAGCTGCCAGCTGGAGTTAAACCACAACACTCATGATGATTATTCATATGATCCAGGAAAAGAATGTAACTTTAAAATGGCTACTCCTATGATGAAAATTGAGCAAACACCAGATGCATCCCCTTGCGAGATGTTTTACCTTCTTACAAGTTAGTTAATTGATCTCCAAACTAAATTTTCAGCTAAACCAGGAGTTATACCCCCAGAATGGATGACCGATTTATGGGGAAAAGGAGCAAATCAGAATACCCTCACCATGGAGGAGGTTCAAGGTTTAGTAAAAAGGACTGGGGATTCTCCTACAAACCCTGCACTGCAACACACAGACTCACCGTGGGGCTGTACTGTCTGCTGGGCCAGGCACCTCCTGCCAGCTGTTGGGGAGGGACAGCGGGCGGGCAAGGGAGATGCTGGTGGGAGAATACTCAGGAATTGCAAATCACCATGTTGAATCTGCCATCTCAGACAAGCTGGACAGATCTGAGCCTGTACGTCAGGACAGGCAGCCACCAAGTCTCCTGGGCATTGCAGCGCAGAGAAGCTTGCTCAGTCATGGGCCAGCCAAATGGGTTTTTACAGGGCTCAGGACAAAAGGCAGTGCAAGGTGGCTCACATCATCAAAAGGCCACTGTGACAGCCACTGTCGCAGTGCGATTGCTATACTATGGTTATGTTGTGATTTCAGTATACTGCTCTGCTAAATCAAAATGCCATGTAATGTCAAACATCTTCAACTGGTATTAAAACATCAAACCCTCCTTGCCTGCAATATCTAAAATAACCTGGTCAGAGTGCTGGACTGACACAGGTGTAATTAACGTCTCAGCTATGGATGCTTAAATTAACACCTACAGAGAAATACTTCAGTTTCTCTATAGGTCTAAAGAAACCAATTCTTCTAAATTTAGCACTATGTGCGTGTCCCAAGCATAGCTTTGGAATATGTATGTTGAAAACTTTCATGATAGTAGCAGGGTCACAAAAGAGTCAAGTACTAAAAGTACACTTCACATTTAAAGTCTTCATAAATATTTTCATCTTTGCTTTTCCATGTGAAAAATTAAAGAGGACATATACAAAGTTACAGAAGCGGTAGAATTAAAATAATGCTGCATTTTATGTTTACAATACTCAAGCTCGTATAAAATTGTAAGGAACCTGCATTTCAAGTTGTAATGACATCTGAAATGCCTTGGTTTCAAAAATTAAGTCTTATATGCCAGTTTTTAAAATAAAGATCCTATTTACAATTTTTGACTGTTATAAAACAGAATAATTAAACTGCATATTCATAAGAATTATTAGCTGGAAATCAAAAAACAGTATAACAAAAAGTTTGATTAGAAACCCAAAAGATTCTGGGCCTTGACTACAACCACTAAACAAACTTACTGATCATACTGTCAGCTACCTCTTCTGTATATGCAGTGATTGCACTTTAATAATACATAATATAATAACACAAGTTTTATTACAAACATGGTGGTGTTTTATTAAAAATAAAATACTTAGAAAAAGCAATCTGTTCTAATAAAGTAGAGGAACAGCATCATCAGAACATGACCACATGCATTTTATGTTTTACATTACTGGCTGATGAGACAAAGTAAGATCTTGGCTAAATCAGTTCAAGTAGTTAAACACACTACAGAAATAACACCCACATATTCTGCAGAATGGTTTGGCACAAAGTTTGCTTTCTGTCCTCTGCTCAAGGACTCTGAACCTTTGCATAAGAAGGCAAGTCCAGAGCATTTAGTCTTCCAAAGTGGAGAACAGGAACTCTAGATGTACACAGAAAGAAGATTTATGACAGAAGCTGCAATAAACACAAAGGAAAAGCTATGCAGACCTCTGGGAGCAGCTGTTCGCCCTGTTCACTAATTTCTCACCTCGGGAACCTCATATTTTTGACAGGGTTCAACCTGATCATTTATGTAGTGAGCTCTAAACCAAAGCCGACTAAGATGACTAAGCGCCGTTCAGCTTTTTATGTCAGTCAGTATCTTAAGATAGCTCCCAGTTTAATACACAAACTTATGGCATTTGGATGTTTAATATAAATATAAGAAGCTTTCAGGAAGATAGGATAGCAAGTATTTGAAGATCCTAGGACAAACCCACTCTTGTACTGACTACAAGCCAGAATTCACCTTTGTATTTTGCACTGTCTGAATTCAGTAATGTCTCATGGAAATGCAAATTCCTTTTAAAGACATGTCAAGTTACACTATTGAATTGTGTAGTACTTCACTTGGTTAGACAGTTGCAGAAATTGTAGCAAGAGTTCACTGAATCATCAACAGTTCTGTGCCCTACAGCAGCTCTAAATAGGGGGATGGAACAGCACAGAATCCTTACATTTGGCATATTCTAGTAATAAGGTCAAAATCAGAATTATCTGATAAATCTGCCTGCCTGAATCTTTCTTCAACCAGGATAATTTCGTCAGCAATATTTTTTCCCCTGCTACTGGAAAGCTGCAAGGACTCTACAAGCTACTCATAAGGCAAAAGTTTAATAACATCCAGAGTTTGGAGTTGTAGATAAACTTCAGAGAGGAGGATGGCACAGAGAGAGGTAAGTGGTCAAGACGTCAACAGTACTGCTTTATTATTTATCACTTGGGATAACACCTTCCTTACTCCTAAAATAGTACACCTATAATCCTTGCAGTCTTCAGTGAGGATAAAAAAGCGGTTCAGGCACATGTAACAGTAGGACACCTTGATGTAGCAGCTGCATTATTAATCACACACACATGCACCCTCCCCCACCACACCCACAAACTTCACTGCCTGCTTTGCTTTCAGGCACCGAAAAAAAGGATGATGTCCAGGTAACACGGTAGTAATGTACCAGAACTGTTTCAAACTGCTTTTCCTTCCATTTATTATCAAAAGTATCTAAAACAAAGTAATGCTTTAAAGTAACTGCTAAAACAATTA